TTCTCAGTGCTGGGCTTTTTGTCTAGTTTGAACCTAGGTCTGTGTGTGCTGCCACAGCCTCCGTGATTTCTAATGTGCATCAGTCCTGCTGTGTCTGGAAGATGCTGTTTCCTTGGAGTCACCCACCACCTTTGGCTCTTAACCATCTTTCTACATCCTCGAGCCTTAGGAGGAGTTTGATGAACATGTCCCATTTAGGATTGAGTGTTCAAAGGCTCTCACTCTCGACGCATTATCCTAACAGCAGTTTTCTCCTATCTTCTTCCTTTTTCCTTAGTTCAGGGTCTACGCAACACAGGGTCCACGCAACACAGGGTCCACACAACACAGGGTCCACACTTAGCTAAGCAAGCACTCTTCCACTGAGCCCTCCTCCAGTACTAGTTTCCTGAGAAAGAATGCATGAGTGGTACATTTTCCAGGTATTGCATGTCTGAAAATGTTTTCATTTAACCTTCATACTCGATTTGGACTTTGCTGGGGAAAATCATTTTGAAGGCTTTTGGGAAGTGGAGACTTCAGAAGTTATGTTTTTAGTCCTCTCACTCTAAAGGTCACCAGACTGGAGGAACCGCTCTAACTTTTTTTTTTTTTTTTTTTTTTTTTTTAGAATTGAGGTGCGAAGCTTGAGTTGTAAGTCATTTGTTAGAGTGCTTGTCAAGTATATGCAAATCTGCAGGCTCAATCCCCACACCATAGAAAAGGAAGTGTGGTGGCACAGGTCTTCAGGGCTAGCACTTGGAGGTAGGGGCAGAGGAATCTTTTTTGTTTTTTTCTCAAGATTTTTTATTTATTATATACAGTATTCTGCCTGCATGTATGCCTGCAGGCCAGAAGAGGGCACCAGATCTCCTTACAGATGGTTCTGAGTCACTATGTGGTTGCTGAGAATTGAACTCTGGATTTTTGGAAGAGCAACCAGTGTTCTTAACCTCTGAGCCATCTCTCCAGCCTGAGGCAGAGGAATTTTTTTTTTAATTGTATTCATTTTACATACCAACCACAGTTCCCACTCCCCCTTCTCCTCCCACTCCCCCCATCCATTCCCCAGAAAGGGTAAGGCCTCTTCCCATGGTGACTCAACACAGCCTGGCATATCAAGTTGAGGCAGGACCAAGCCCCTCCCTGCTGCATCAAGGTTGAGCACGGCATCCCACCACAGGGAATGGGCTCTAAAACACCAGCTCATGCACCAGGGACAGATCCTGGTCCCACTGCCAGGGGCCACACAAACAGACCAAGACGTCCAACTGGCACCCACATGCAGAGGGCATAGTTCAGTCCCATGCAGGCTCCCCAGCTGTCATCCCAGAGTCTGTGAGGTCCCTGAGCTCAGGTCGGCTGTCTATGTGGGTTTCCCTGTCATGATCTTGACAACCCCCTGCTCATTTAATCCTCCTCCCTCTCTTTAAGTGGACTTCCCAGAGCTGCAGCCCAATACTTGGCTGTGAATCAGCCGAGGACTCTTAAACCAAGGTCATCTCCAAGTCTTTTTGTTAAACTTGTTAGTTCAAGCCAGCCTGAGTATGCAAACTACTGTCTCAAAAAAAAAAGAGAGAGAGAGAGAAACAGAACTCACACATCACACACTTCTGAAATACACAGCTCATTGATTTCAATAATACACCAAGTTGTACAATCATCATCACTATCTAATTTTATGACCTTTTCAAAAATAGCTGTAGTCCTGTTTGGATGGATTCACTCCCTCTCTTTTCTTACTCTATCCCCTAGCAACTGTCTGTTTGGGTTCATCCATCCAGACTTTGCTAGAAATGGGATTACATAATAGGTGGCCTTTTGTGTTTGGTTTCTTTTATTCACCGTAGTATTTTCAGGGCTCTTTTACATTTTAGTGTATATTAGTTGTTCATTCCTTTCTTATAGCTGAATTATCTAGGTATTGCTAAGCTATATTTCATTTATCCATTTATCAATTCATGGGCCTCTGGGATTTTTGGTTTTGGCTCTTGGGTATGTGTTGCCAGGAAATTTGTTTACAGGTGTTTTTGTTTTTGAATGTGCATATTATGTTCTCCTGGGCATAGACCTTAGGAATGAAATTACTAGGTCATATGGTAGCTCTCTGTTTAGTTAATATTTTTAAAGCACTCATGTTTAGCTTGCTGAGGTGTTGAGTATCAGGCATGTGAGCAGAGGTGTGAGT